GTGTGAGTCAGGTTGGTATGAAGATACAAATATAAAAAGAGCGTACAATGCATGGGCATAATGAATTGAAGATTTTTCAGCCCTATGGACAGCACTGTTCCTCAGAGTGCATATGCAGGGGTTAAAGGAGAGCTATGGGGTAAGTGTCACGGGAGGGCATAAACTAGCATCCTCCCGTGACCCAAAGCTCAGTATATCGCGAGTGGAGCCGTAAGTGACAGTCACGGCTCTCTGCAGGGACATGATCGAGAAGTGAGCAAGGGACGGTATGCATTAGCTCACTTCCCAATCTATTGAGCCAACGTGTGACAGTTTAATTGTCACACGTCGGCTCGAACTATGAGTTTGAGTGAAAATCACTCACCTCATAGTTTATCTTTAATGGATTGAAAATCTCTCCACACCTTTGCCATCACTGCTTCTCAGAGTGCAAATACATGAACTTCTGGATTGTAACTTTCTTATCACCAGCACTGCTCTCTAAGACAGAGTGAACTGCTCAATTGGGGATGAAAGATTATCTTCAACATGTGATAAAGCTGCTACACATGCAAGATCCTGCTTTTAGAATCCAGCTTGCAGAACGCATCACAAGAATTGTACAACCTTTGAGAAGTGCTTGGCCTGCGATCACCTGGCAGGATGCTGTGCCAAGTTTCTCCTGCAGGGGCAGCAGTGCATAAAGAGGCAGAAAGGTGAAGGTCTGAAGTCTTATACAGTGGGATGGACTTTATGAGCTGTCAATTACTAGTCCAGTCAAGCGGCTACATCCACAAGTTCCCCTCTAGCCCTATGGCAGTCTGTTACAGAGTATTGCCCTGGCGCGTCCATAGGCCAATAATGGCTCTTACTTGCCAGGGCAGCCCATGCTTGGCCTAAGAACACATAGTGGACCTTTTGGCTGGCAATAAGGTCTCAGGGGCATGGTTGTTTCTGAAGGATTTGACATCAGCAACTGACTTTATAGTAGGCTGCTATGCTCATCCAGCCCTGCAATTACCTTGAGTTGATACAGATTTCACCACACACACACACACACACACCAATATCTAAAGTCACAGGGGACGGAAGAATTGCAATCCTCCTTTCATTTAAACAAACCAAGATTATTCCCTCCCAGGGAAAACTAAAGTCCTGTTGAGAGTTCCTCTTGTTGGCTATGTGTCCAGATGAAACACTAAGATCTTGAGGAATGCTGAATTAGGTTTTTACTTGCTTCGGGCATTGCATGAATGGATATAACATTGTGAAGAAAAAGAACTTCGTGTGGACCGCAGATAAGCATCCACACAGGGACCAGCATTCCACTACAGCGCCATCTACGGCTCAAAAGACATCAGTACATTAGTATGTGCCATTACATTTCCAACACCTCTGACCGGCTTGCCCAGTAGGTCTCAGGTTGTAGAAGCTTACAACAGTTTGAGGATATACTGTTCGGAGCAGTTTGAGGATATACTGTTCGGAGTATAGGCGCATGGGTCCGGTGAAGAGTTCAAGACGCATATTGTCAGGTTTTTCTTCTCATCTTTCATTCCATTGTATTACCATCAAGGTTCCTTGGTGCAAGCGAAGCTCTTGATTATATGTACACATATCTAAATGGTGTCTCGTAATCTTTTCCAGACCAAAAATGTCAAGCTTTTTATCCTCTAATTTGCCTAGTGGGAAAACCAGGAGATTTAAGACTAGTCTTGGTAAGAGCACTTTAAACAGATGGATCAGGATCCAAATATTGCATATGGAATCCCTATATTCAAACACTTAGCAATCAACTGGCTATAGGGTGTTGTGCCTGGCAGATCCTGTGCACCTGTACTTCATCAAATGTCTTGCTTACCATTCAAAAGTTCCACTTCTGGTTTGTTTACCTGCCCTTTTGGCCTTGCCACAATCCTAGGTCATTTTCAAATATTACACCCAGTCACAGCCTGCTTGAGTGAAAAAAGTATTCCAACTATTGCAGCGACATCCTGCTGATGGTTGCTTATGCATTCCACGGAACCATCTTAGGTTAGGCTCTGATAAAATAACAATCTTTTGCCAAGGGGAAAGCCAAGTGGTCTAGTGTTTTGCAGAGGCAGATCATGCCCCTATCCTACTCCTTGGCGTCTCATTGTCTCATGATGACAGGATCAATTTAAATGGTGACACTGGACTTATTAGAGGCCGAGTCTTCCAACAGGGTTCTTCAGACCTCAGAGAAAACATTCCCTGCGCCGGAGATTCAGGATGATTCCAAATATGAGATTCTCGGTTGTGGCTGAAGCCGGCGAGCCTATTCCAACTGTTATTATCCATTGTCCCTATTCAGTGATCATGTTAATAAAGGATTCCTATGTGCGAATCACTTCCTCAACCCTTTAGTCCAAGGTTAGCGACAGTCCATTAGCAGGAAAATGTCTCAGCATCTTGGAGTTCAGAGAGCCTTTCAGATCCTAGGGACCTCCGTATTGGGTCAATAAACAACTGGATGATGTTTTTTCCATTGATTTAATGGCTGCTCATAGATGTGGGAACTGCTCACTGCTGATGGAGGTACCTCTATTCAAGGATTCAGCGCTGAACTCCCCACTTTACAGTCACAAAACCTTGGACGACCGTTAATGTTTTCTAATCCAGCAGTTTTCTGTGGATCAGCAGCAAGTGTGTTATCAAGATCTCATCCTAATGATAATCCCTAAGAGCGTAAAGTGCAGACACTCCTTGTCAAGCAAACGTTCTAAGGGAAAGAGTAATGGATATTTTAATGCTCATATGTTTCCTTCAGTCCTAATGGTCAAGGGTTCCTAAATGGGACCCACAAGTATCCAGGTAGAGTGATGGCAAGCATTTGCTGGTGGCCCATCTGTCCAGGTTTCCCTCTTGTAGACTCTGATCCTGGAATCTTCTAGTCATCCTTAATCTTCAAACCTTCTACAGCAGGTGCTACATCCAAACGGCTTGGAAGTTGGAAGTAAAGTCTGCCTTGCCTGGATTACTCCTCTTCAGTCATTGGGTGATTGTTGAATGCTAGAGCACCTGCCAAACATCACATATTCTACAGTGTAGAATAATCTCATAGACTTTGCAAGCTTAATAGATTTTGGCTCTCTTCACCTTGCCATGACGGGTATACTGGGCTTTCTTCAGGCAAGCAATATGTACTTGGGTGTCAGTACCCTCTATATTCATCCTCCACGAAACAAGGGGTACCTCATTATTTGATAAGCCATCTCCTAAGGACTTGCGCAAGGATTCACTCTTCAGGAGAGTCTCTTCTTTTCCCTTAGAATTTACAAAAGTGCAGTCAATGTTCTTCCTTCCTCGACTTTGTCTAGCTTACACTTACTCAGTATGGACAGTAACATGTAGAACAGTTTTTGTTCCTACAGCAATTTCCTCAGGGAGGAGGGTGTTGGACAGTCATAATTGGGCTGCAAACCACCTTATTTTTACCATTTCACAGACAAGGTAGTCCTAAATCTCTCTCCCAGCATCTTCCGAAGATTGGAAGACCCTTCCATCTACATAGGACATCAATGTCGCCATTTTTCCGGAATCAAGTTTTTTTTGTGTGTTTCAGCTCATGCCCGAGATGCGACTGCTATGCTGGTGGAAGAACACTGAGGTTGCCTTTTCCTTCAGGTCGACCTGTTCATCTTTCTGATGGTTGTAGAAAGTAGCCCTCTGTGTGCACTAGGTCACATGTATTGTGCCTGATAAAGCAGATGGAGCCACAGATTAGTCTTGGGTTCGCTCTTCCGCAGGCTGTCATCCTTACGAACAGTTTTAGTGATGTACCTCCAGGGTTCTTCTGGAAGGCAATAACCTGGTGTATATTCATGTCCCATTACGGGGTCTATCTAGGAGGATAGACCCCAAGTCTATCTATATTTTCCATGGTGAAGTTCGGTTCTGAATGTGTTTACCAGTGGTAGAAATTGATAACTATCTCAGCATTACCCTCCCTTGGTATTTAATCGCTACATCCCATTGAATGCTGCCATGTAGGCGTCAGGAAAACGGAAAATTGTATACTTACCTGTCGGTAATTTTCCTTTCCTGATGCCCATACACGGCAGCATACAGGACCCTCCCATGGCTTTCACATTGAGTACTTGTTACGAGAATGGCTGCCTTGGGAGGCAGGCTTTAATTTATAGTATAGCTGTCCTATAATTGGGCTAGGGGCGGAGCCATACCCATTGTATGCTGCCATGTATTGGCATCAGGAAAGGAAAATTACTGATAGGCAAGTATATGATTTTACGTTTTGTGTTATATATATATACACACACACACACACACACACACACACACACACACACACACACACACAGCTCAGCGAGGATACCAGAATATCCACTGACTGGACATAGACAGATTTATACCGCAGTACAAAACCAGGGAATGATGTAGAAAGTGTGGTAGCAATCAGATTTCTCCAGTTACAACAACCAGATCAGAAAATGTGTTTTTGGCTGCCATAGGTTACTGCATAGTGTTTTATTCCATAAGACTGCAGAATCAGATTAACTAGCCTTATATGGCAAACTGGAGGAAAGGACACCATCTGTTCTGCTCATATCCAGCAACCAGACTCGAGCTGCCAGTTTTCTACGGCAGGCTAAAAATGTAAGTAAACTTGTTATTGGTTGCTATAAATGACAGGCACTTTACTCCCCTAGCAGCACCACTGACAGGCCCCCTGGAGAGATTACATTCCACAACCAAGAGAGCAGAAGAGGTATAGACATTCCATCCCAGCTATTAAAGTACCTGGCAAAAGAGCTATCTGTGTTGCAATTAGCTTCTTCCAGTGTTAAATCTGCACTGAGAGCATTGTGCTGCTATCAGTAACCCAGACCATAACATTGATATGATCTCTTTACAAGTAGTAACACTTCCAGAATGTAAGGAGTTTCCTGACCATAATAGTGATGGTCTCAGCTGGTCCTGTAAGGTCTGTGGCGTTGTATATACAATTTTGCACATATCTAAGGTAGGTCAGGCTGGTGAGTAGTTTAATCACGAATGCTGCAGTTTGTAGTCTGACAGTTTACAGGAAATGCTGCTGCTGCGATGTGACAGAGGCGTATATGATGTCAGACGCACATTGTTGTGGCGGTAATTGCTTGGTGCAGTTCTGCGTTCTAGCGTTCCTCTGCTACACAGAATTCTCTTTTCCTCTGCTGTGTTCATGTGGTTGTGGCAGAGGTCAGCAAGTGCCTGCACTTGCTCATGAAGTGGTAAACCTTTAAATCGCCTTTGTGCCAAGTAGAAGAAAGCCTCTATGAAGGCCTGGAGACACATACCTGCATAGAAGACAAATCACAGCAATCAGAATTGATACAATCATACTGTAGTCCCCCCAATAAAAAAAGAGCCCTCCCCATTACTGCACAGAGCAAATCCACTTTATACAGGTACAGGGATTTTGTTCAGCTTGTAAAATACCCAATTTTCTCCTGGTATATAAAGGTAATAAGAAAAGTAAAAGGCGGCTGGAAATTAAGCCGAGATCCCCGTCCTCAGCACCTGAATCTGCTGATGGGTTTCAGAACAAGAAAAGTCAGTTCAGTCAACCATTTGCTGAGGTGAGGGGGAGGTACAACAGGATTTTAGGGGAAACAACCATACCTCATTTCATATCTAGTCTGCGTCTCTTCTAATAGGAAATAAGCGATTTAATCATCACCAGCAACAAGTGTTTATTGAGTAACTGAAAGATAACCTGCTGCCATTCATCAAGACAGCAGCAATGAAAGGGTACTCAGTGGCTATAAAACAAGCAAGTTGTGTTTTGGTGACTCGAAATACGTTCTGATGGGACATTGCTGGAGTGCTGGTTGTGACTGTTTTTTACAATAATACCATCCATTGGTTTGCCACTGCAGCACCCATTATTCAGAGGAGGTTGTGACACTAAAGGGCGTGCACCAGGTAACTTCTGTTTCTTTTGATGGAAGATCTCACCTCCTCTATTCATTATAAATATCTCCTGGCTTTGAGACTGGAATTACTTACTCTTGTCTACTACATGCAAAACTGAAGCGTTGCTCAACCTGAAGGTTACTTCATCCATCTACATATGGCACCTGTCACAAGAGAATCGGCCGCAGGGGGCGTGCAGGACTCAGACCAAGCAGGAGAGCCATTGTGTGCTACAGATACTCTCATTGATATGGCTTGGGCTTTGTATGGCAAAAAAGCTTGGACAGAGCTTATGTGCAGAATGGCCAGAAAAAAAGGCCTAACTAAAACAATATAGAGGCAAATAATCACCACAGTGGTAGCAAACACTGCTTGTCCCACTGGGCTGCTGTGTGGAGATCTTATTACAGCTCACTATAAGTGATGGGAGAGTCCCAGGAGGACAGAAGAGAGACAACAGAACAGCACTGATGAGGAGCTCCACTAAGCATCGCACCAACATACTGTCAAAAGGGTTGTCACCACTAAATATGTTGGTGTGTGCTGCCACGAGACACCCCTAAGTTTAGAAGACTACAGACCTCTAACACATGGAATAGAGAACATGTGAAATATTTTTACACAGAATTTCTCCATGAAGGATAATATTGTGGACTCTGAGCCAAGATGATCTCGTCTCCAGTATGGGGAAATCTTCTCAGCAATCAAATCTGAGTATTCTGCACTTTGGGATTATTAAGTGTCTGAAATAAAACATAAGAGGCGGATGATGATCCCTCACCGTGAATTATGGCTCTTTCCAACACTAAATATGTTTTCAGGCCTCTCTCCGAGATATTTATCTGACAAACTTAAGCTCTTCCATTGCACAACTGGCAATTTAACACCATTAACTATGTCTCGTTCACACAGACAAGCGGCGATAAAACACTGGGTTCATGTCATCTTTACTATATTTCTTTATAAATTACCATAATATGAAGGACAGAGCAAGAGAAGACAGACTCCTATAGAATGTGTGATATATAGGCTCTGGTAAGATGGCGTCCCGTGTTAGAAAGCCTGTACTAGAAAGTCAGCTACGGGACTGGTTAAAGTAGACCTCTAGAACAACAAATCCACTTAAAGTTGGGGCAAATTAAAAGTTGAATTTCAGTCTAAACACATATTTACACATCTTTCATAAGTAATAGCAGCTACATTATAAACTACTCGCCACCCTGTGCCATCGGTGTAGACCCCATTGTGTAAATGGCAGCCAGTGTGAAGTGTTATGCATACGGTGGGAAGGTGCAAGGTTTACAGCAGGCATGTTCTGGTCATTACATGGCCAGACTGTAATCTAGGAAATATTAAATTAAGTACTTCAGAAAGACACAACTTAAGGGGATGTTCTATGCTCAGAAAATCCAGTTTCTTTATGTATAATACTCTGCCTTCATGATGGCACCAACCCATGTCTGCATGATGGGTCTCCCTGTTGCTTGCAGGTCAGCACTTCCTAATGCCTGCATGATGGTGCCTGTGTGATAGCACTTCCTGCTACCTGCAAAATAGCATTGCCCATTACCTGCATGACAGCACATTTTACGGTCTGCATGATAGTGCCCCCCTTTGCCTGCATGACAGCACCTTCTGCTCCTGGCAAACAATGTTAATTCTCTTATTAAGCACCCAACTGATTTAAAGAACTGGGTGCTGCCAGTGAGAAAAAAAAAACCCAAACATACTTGGTCTCTTCCTGATGGTTTTGTAGTCCGACCCTACCTGACTCCCCCAACACAGTCTGTAGCCACAGTCCGATATTGGTCTTCAGTGGGAGTCATTACAGGATAAATATGCTGCCACAGCACCAAAGCTGGCAGATATGGAGGAATATGTTCATCCTGTGAGATAGAATAAAGCAAACACCACAAAAGGTTTGTGTGAACTGAGCCATTTGGCCAACGCATTTGAGCCCCCTAGACCTTAATGTCCTTAATTACAGGAACAACTTTTAAAAGTTGCTATGGGAAACAGCTCCCCGCCCACCTTGCTTTTCAAAAATCACCCACACTTTTTGGTACTCAAAATCCTATTCAAATATCATATATGACCCAGAAAACAAATTGTCTTTATAAAGAGGGCCTGAAAAGTAAGTGGACTGAATCTATATGATGCCGTGTCGCCGCCACCACCACCACCACCACCACCACCACCAGTGGAACAGATATGGTGCAAGAAGCAAAAGGCAGATGACACATTACAGCAGTCAAACCAGCACAATATGGATTCTGCTCTGGGTATCACACTTTGCTCTACACATGGTTAAATTGAAGGTTCTCATTGGAGCCCAGAGAATGCCTCCTGACCAAACCCACCGAGCAAGCAAGATTTCATGCTAGGAATTCAGGCCCACAGAACAGGCTCTTTCTAGTGCAAAACTCAAAAGAGTAACATGCCTAGAATAGGGTTGCAATAACATTTAGGAATTCTTAACAATATGGAACCTAAAATCCTTAATCATTAATTGCATGGCAACACTGACAAACAGTCAGAGAGTAATAGACTCTGATCATGAGTGGTAAACAAATGCTAAACATGCTCCCCAATCTTAGAAGATAATTCACTTTTTGGCCAGGTCAAAGGATAATCCAACATCTATATACTGCCTGCAGATGCCCTCAGCTGAGACTCATTGGGTGAGCAGCGACTGGGAAGGTTAGAACATACTGTGAAATGCTACTGCTTTCTGCCTGGTAAGTTCACATCAGATGGACACTCTCCCTGGCTGAAGCATGTAGTCTCCCTGTTCGTGTTTAGGATGTGTTCTCTGTAACCGGTGCCGATGGTGACTGGATTATACCTGAAATGGACAACTACCCACTAAAGCTTTGAAACCTAGCAAACACAAACTGTGATGATGGTGTCAGACACAGAAGTAATGACTAACCTGTTTTATCTGCTCAACCTCCTGGAGATAGTGTTGCGAAATCCTGTAAATCCTTGGTTCTTAACTGTGGGTCGTGACCCAAAAGTGAGTCGCAACTCCGTGTTCAGTGGGTCACCGCATGCCTTCCACTTTCCTCAGTGAGAGGCTCCTCAGTCTCCCCCTAGTGCAGCACTGTCAATTCTCACACCAAGCAGCTATTCAAATTGTGCTGCCCAGCGTTGAGTGTCAGCTTGAGGTGGGATAGGATGGGGCTATGGCCGCGAGGGAGCTCCATACATAAGTGCATTGGTAACAGCTCCCTCATGTGTCCTGTAGAGGTGCGTGGACCTGACTGACGTCACATTCTGGTTGATTAACGCACTGTACCATGCAATTGCACCTACTGCGCATTCTGGTGTGGGAGGTGTTTTGCCATTCATTTAAATGATACCCCAAACTCATCTCCTACCCACAGTTCGTACGCCTGCACCGGAACATACGGTACCTTTAATGCCATGCATTCCATTGCAGTGCAACTTGGTTCCCGGCTTAATGACCAAGGACAAATGTGGGTCCTGAGGTTACACAGGTTGAGAACCAATACTATAAACAATATGCTGTTATTAAGCAAAATATATGGTGCAATATCCAGGGAATCTGTAAATTCGAAGCGTACACTTCTTAGAGCTTCAAGCATTAATCGTTTTCGAGCACTTCTTGGACACAGGAAAAAAAATAAACTATGACAAGGGAGTCACCTCCTGTTTCATATCTTGGAGTTCTGTCTCTTTGTTTTCACGGTACTAACGCGCCGTTATCTTGTAAGAGGTTTAATCAATGTTTACATGCATAATGTTATTTCAAATCGCCTCTCTCAAGTGGCTATTGAAGTTTGTTAATGTCCCGTGGATGGCAGAAATGAAGCAGCGTTTTAGCAGGGTAATCAGATGCCACCACAGTGCTGCCAATCCCTAGAAACATTACATTTTAATAGCAGCATTGTGAATAATATTCAGTGTACTATATTCCTTGTATCATGAATCTAGAGATTATTGAAAATGCATCTCCTAGTTAAGAGCAATGCATTGGAACTAAATAAAAAAAAAACTTCATCATACTATATGCGCAAGTATTTTTAAAGCAATTTAATGGATAAAATGAACAACTCTTTAAGACAGATGACTGCAAATCTGATTATTGGTGTGTATGCCCCCTCTACCCTCTTACCGAAAAGTGAATGGAGACCTCCCCTACGGGGTGCTAGGTGCTAGAAGGGACTGAGCACATGTATACATACAGAAAACAGAAACCAAACAGACTCCATGATATTTCAGGACAAGAGAAAAGGGAAATCTGATTGGCTGCACACCCGTTGTATCGCATCATATGAAAAAACATAAAGTGGGACTCTACAATAGCACAGAATAAACAATAGTGAAAGGAGAAGGAAGATTACCTGATTCCCTTTGGTCTAGTGCCATGCTGTTCCAGCGCCTTGTTATATCGATGTAGAGAATGTCCCCAGATGCCATGGAGAAACTGCAACTACTCAGCTTGCAACTTCTGTGAAGAAAGAGAAAGACACCATAAAGGAAGCCTTTAAAACCAGAAAGAAGCTTCTAGAATAAAGAAGTGCTAAATCTCTGCTCTCAGAGATCTTAGCCGGGAGTCACAGCTTGATGCTCACAACACAAGGCCGGGACATCGCATGCGAGTCACCCAGGAATCGAGAGAGTTAAACCACATTACAGTTTCTAAAGGTCCCCACACACCTTACGATAATCGTACGATAATTGCGGGAAATCCCGCGATCGTACGATTATCGTAAGGTGTGTGGAAGCCGTGCGACCTCTACTACTGTAAGGTCGCACGACTTTAAACTTACGCACATGTTTCAAAACCCGCCAAGCATCGTACGATGTTCGGCGGGTCTGTAGCATTTTGGTAAGATAAAAGCCGGACGGGCCGGTGTGCGCAAGCGCACACTGCCCGTTCGGCATTGCGGTCATCGGAAGCCCGCCCCTCAGGGGGCGTGGCTTGCGATCATCGCAAGTACAATTTGCCTATGCCTAGGCAGATCGTACGTTTTTTAAGTACCTTACAACCATCGCAAGACAAAAGTCTTGCGATGGTTGTAAGGTATGTGCCCAGCCTAACACAAAAGGTTGCTGAATCAATCAAGGAAAAAAAAAAAGGACAATGAAGTATTGGACTATAAATAGGTTTTGTCCTGCAACTCCCTCCAGGATGGAATGAATGCATACAAGATCACCGGTTCCACTGAACATCATCATATCTGTCTGTAAACTTTTTTTGATGATGACTCTCCCAAGTCTTTTCTCTTCAGGTATTTAAAGCATCAGTAAATAAAAATGAGGATTACTCCAGTGAACCCTGAATTATTCATGACTATATTCTGTGCCGTCAGCGTTGCCTTACAGGAAAACTGATTAAAAGGAAGAGCGTTAAATAAACGCAGAACTCTGTATTCATATACTGGTCATAGTCAGGCTGAGATGCACATCACAGGACGACAGCTATGCGTAAGCAAATTCAGTCACTTTAAATGGAACACGGCTTCCTGCTGAGTGCACTGGAAATGTCATCTAATTCGCCTTTTAAAGCTCATGCCTTAACAAATTTTAGATTCTATGTGACATATTGTGAAAATAAATGCCCCCCTGGGTGGATGAGTGTAGGCTAAAAACTTTACATGAAAAACTAATCCTTGTGTGCACCAAAGGAACGGCAGGACATCAGCAGCACTTTTCAACTTCAGTGCATACAGAGCACCAGATGAGGATATAATGCCCCTGTCATCTCGTACAACTACAAACCATTACAGCAGGTAAATGATCAGCAGAAGCGAGACTAGTGCTGTAAATTGTTAGGCAAACTACCTCCACTAATTGCAAACTATTCTCACTTTTCACTCTTGTTTACCAACAGATGAAACACAGTTACCCTTAGAGACTATGAGAGCAAAAAATCCATCTCTCCTTTGTTGGAAGACGTTGTGTCTTAATTGCATCAATCTGCAGACATGCACGATGAAAGATTAGAGCGCGGGAAGAAGGTCATCGATCCATGAAGCCGATATTGACTTTCTGGAAACCAGCAGTATTAACTATAAAATTACTGGGATTTGCGGATTCTCAGAAATAATCAGCACAAAGAAACCCACGAACCAGAAAATAATAAACCCAACCACAGAAGTCCTTCCATTTCCTGTGATTGGAGAGGTGGCAATATGGTAGATCAGTCGCTGAAAGCAGGACTGAGAGGTCATTATGTGCAGCTCTATGTTTCACTAAGTGAGAAGTTCAGAACTACCTATGAAGTACAAATCACCAGACGAGAATTTAATCCTGAAATTCTCACTGCTGACTGCTTCACAGCGGATTAAATATCAAATAAGGACTTTATCTTCTAGAAAAAAAAAATCACCTAATGCTTAAGAGAAACAAATCTGAGGATGACCGGGAAAGAAAGCGAGAGAAATACATTGAGGCATAGAGGGAAAGGAGAGAGACAGAGAGAGAAAAAAAAAGGAGAGAGTGTAGATAGATAAAGATGATAAAAAAAATTGGGAGTTGAAATTGCAGGGTAAAACGAGAGGGAAAAAAATTGAGAGAGGGGAGAAGACAATAGGAAGACAGACTAAAGGTGGCGATACAATGTTAGATTTTAGGCTTCCCTATTAAGCAGTGTCAAATGTCGAATTCAGAAATAATTTGTTAGCCATTCTAACCAACCACTTTTAGACAGACTACGGAAATAATTTCCTGTGCTGTGTTCTTGCTAAGATTTTTGATGAGCAAAAACCTCACTGATTCATCGGTTTTCATTTGGTCAGAGAAAACTTTTCCAACCTGACCGTACAAAAAATTTTGATCTCAAAATTAAAAGCAAAAATTGGTGCTGTACCATTAATTGTTCGATTTCCGTTTGAAAAAGACCAATCGTATATGATTTCCCAAATGAAAAATCTAACAAATATATGGCCACTTTAAGAGAAAGCGAGAGGAATAGAGAGAGTGAGAAGGAGAGGGAGGGAGAGAGTGAGGAATGGATGGGGGAGAGAGTGAGGAATGGAGGGAAGGAGGGGGGAGGGAAGGAGAGAGGGAGGGAAGGAGAGA